CATCACTGACTTGCCCTTTTACCAGCAGAAGTTTCAAAGTAGCCACGTCAGCCCCATCCTGACAACCATCAGCAGGGTTCGAGCTGTAAGTCCCAGCCATCATGTAAATATCATTTTCCTTCACAACTATTGTTGGTCGGCTCACATCCACTTTATTCCCTCCAGAACCTTCTTTCTCCAAAAATTGTGTCTTCTTTTTGGCATCCTTCATAACTTCCTTCTGTTCAACATCCTCCGTTTCCGTAAAAAGTTCGGACAAAATGCCAGTAAAGATGATGTCTTCACCTTTCTTGCACTGCGCCTCGGCAACGGCAAACACGTCACTCCCCACTTTTAGAAGGCCCGGAACACCCAACGACTCCACAGTTTCACCCTCAGTGATGACTTTCCATTCAAACTTTTTTTGAGATGGCTGCACCTCCGCGTGAGCAACTCCTGTGCCGCAGCACATCATCACGACGAGGAGAAGGAGCAGCACCGCAGAATAGAAGGGATGCCGGGACATGTTGGGCCTCTGCGGCTCACTCTCTCCTCCTTCCCTCCTCCTTCCGCTGGATCCGGTCACGCGGCGACGGTTGTGTGTACGGGGTGCCTTCACTGCAGCAACACGTGAGAGCATATAAATATGTGTGTGTGCTCTGTGTGTGCTGTTGGTCCTTTCAGTGTCTTACAATTTCACAGTGGCGATTAGCGTTTAGCCTTACTTCCTTTCCTTCTTTCTGTGTGAGAAAGAGAGAGAAGAGGGAAAAGGAGTAAAACAGTGAACACCGCCACCCATCCACAATGAGTGGCACCATCATCCCCGCCGCAGTCACTCCCAACAACAACAACTGAAATGCACACAGACACACGGAACAGGAGATGGATGAACAGTGCACCGGGAACACACAGCGACTGCCACCAGCACCAGCAGGAGCCACGGCAGGTGCGTCGTTATTCCTCACATGTCGGCAGACACCGAACGACGCCCACGCAAAAAATACAACCAGCGGAATGCAAAAAAGCACAACCGCCCTTCGCTGCACCCACGCGCTGCCGCCAGTCGTATTGCTGTTGTCTCTACAGCGCACCCGCACATCACTCCGCACGCCGGAAAATCCCCCGTCAACGGATACACAGCGGGAGGAACACGTCAGCAGGTACAGCTTTTGGAAGCAAATCAATCCGCAATTGTCCCAGGCACCCAGAATGCCACACCACTCACTGACTCCACAGCGACAACATCACGCCCACAAAAAGTCGACGAGGCAAATTACGGACTCCAACTCTTCTCACAGAAGCAACCGCAGCCAGAATCTTGTGCGTGCGTGCGTGCTTTCACACCGCCCCACAACGTGTGCAACATGGCTTGTATGTATGCATGTGCTTCTGTGTTTGGCAACGTCTATAATTGCGGAGCAGCTGTGCGCCACAAGAGAGTCCAAAGAAAGCAACGGCAGAAAGAGAAGCGGATAGCACACATGCAAATTACTCATATCATCACACACACACGCAGCCAGCGGAATGGGTGCACTCAACCACAAAACAATGAAATAAAAAAACAAAAAGCCAAAGCGTGGGACGACCAGCGCACACACTCTCATTGCTCCCGTAAAGCAAAACACACACACAGGGAGAGAGAGAGAGAGAGGTCGCCCACTCAATGCAATAAAAACAAACAGTTACGGTGCTCCGCCCATGCAGCCAGGCAGGACGGCAGCGGTGCGTGTCGTGCAAAAGAGAGCACCAACGGGCCTGCATGGGTGTGCATGCAATATATACAATGGGCACATTATGTGTGTGCTTCGTGGGATGAGGTGAGGGCGAGAGTCCATGCAAGGGGACACACACAGAGAGAGTGAAAGACGAGTGTGTGTGCGGGCGGTGCATGGCTCTCTCTCCCTCACTCTCACGCGGCCACCACCGCCGCAGCGGCCGCAACAACAACAAGAAGAAGCAAAAGAGGGGAGATGGTGTGGGAGACCGCGGTGCTGCTGTCGCTGTCGCCAGTCGTCGCCGTGCCATTTTTCATGGCTGGGGCTTCGACTGGTTTTTCTCTCGGAGGTTGAGCATTATCAGTAGTGTCAGTTCCTGTGGTCGTTTCCTCGTGAAGTGGAGGAATTCTATTTGAAGACGGCGTAGATGCTCCTTCTTGACTGCCAGTTGATGTACTCTGCATTGTATTGGCTGCGGATGCAGGATGTTCGTTAATGCTTTCGGCCGCATCAGGTAAATTCTCTGATGCATCCGTGCTTTTGCTCTTTGTCTCCTCTTTTACTGACGTCAATACTTCGTGGTAAGTTTTTGGTTCTGTCGCTGCTGCTTGTGATGATTTCATTGGAGTCTTTTCACTTTCTTGTAATTTTGTATTTGGATCAGCTGACGATTCGTCTGTTCGGGAAGCTTCTGAACCCCCTTTTACCGTTATTTGTTCTCCCGAAGAGCGTAAACCACCGGCACCCAACGTGGCGACTTCGTTGTCATTCTGACCCGTTGTTGTTGGAGCAGAAAATGTTTTGTTCCGGTCCGTTGTTGAGTGTATCTGCTGCCACTCCATCGTGTGGCTGGGCGTGTTGACTCTCCTTTGCTTCTGGCACCTTATCTTGTTTTGAAGGCTTCCCAACTGCATTGGGTGAAATACTGACGGTGGACCCTTCGTCACCAATGCGGGATGAAGAATCGAGGCCAGAAGGAGAAGACCGCGAAGTGAGAATGGCGCCAGGAGCAGCAGGACCAGAAGCACCAGATGGTGGTTTTATTCCTCCTCCTGCTGCTGCTGCTGGCGGTAGTACTACCGGTGGTGGTGTTTCGCGTATCTTCGCTTCTTCCTCCGCTTCTTCATCTTCGTTGTCTTCATCTTCTTCTTGTTTTTGATCGGAAATTAGTTTTTTACGCGACACAATAGCAGCTGAAGGATCCTGTGTCGTCTGGTCCTTTCTTCTTGTTGCATCTGTTGATTCTTGTCCTGAAGCCACCGGCTTTTCATCTTTTATTTCGGGTGGCGAAACCTCTTTATTCCTTGCCTGGCCATCCTTGTCCGTGCTGACATCCCCTTTTCCAGCCGCAGCCGCAGCAGCAGAAGCAGCAACAACAGCAATCCGTTGACGTCTCCAACGACGACGGCCATCCACAACGGCACGCACACTCTCCATTGCCTGACGCACACACTCCTCGACGGCGGACGCATTCCCACTGCCTCCTGTCCTCCTGCTGACCTCCTCCGCGCATTCCCTCCGCAGCCAAGCACGCCACTGCAACAGTAAGTCCTCATCCGCACTGCCAACGCCACCGCCAACACCGTCGGCCGCAATTCCAGATAAACCGCACCACAGCACGCAGAGGGCACACACCAGCAGCACACGGCCAGTCATCATCATCGCCATCACTCCTGCCACGTGCGTGCAGCCTTCAGCACAAACTACCAACACGTCAACGCAGAGTGAAAGCAAAAGGAGAGAGACACGACACACTCACAGCCACCAGCAGAAGCAACACGCAGTTCATGAGAAATATTAAACCAATTAAATTTTAAAAAAGCACAACGACATGCAAAAATTAAACAAAAAGAAACACACACAAAAAAAATAATAATAAAACAAAAAAAAAAAAAAAAGCAAACAAAAAGCAATAAAGTAAAACAGTAAAAACAAAAAAAAAAAACAAAGAGCTGCACACAAATGGCTGCAGTGCGCATGCACTCATCCTCAACAGTGCATCGATGCAAACAGTCGTGTGCGTGTCGCGCTTGTAAGTGTGCCTGGAATGCATTCCACGTGACGGATGCGAGAGCAGCAAAATGAAGCACACATCATGGCAGCGGAAGCAAGCAAAGCGAAACACAATCATTATTTTATCCTATTATTTAGTACATCAAATCACAACAGCTGGCACGCACAAATACTCGTGATTGGGTGCTGGCACGCACAGCTTACACAGAATAGTTCAGCAAAGTGTGGTGTACGCCAGCGCGGATACGGCAAGCAGCAGCGGGGCACACACCCACGCAGAGCTGCTGAGGCTGCCGTCGATTTCGCGAAGACGTGACGGTGCGCGGGTGGTCGTCGTTGTGGTTAGCGCCTCTGTATTCATGGCCGTATTACTTGGTGCCTTTGTTGTAGTGGTTGTTATCGTTGTTGGTGCCTGTGTTGTAGTCGTCGTCGCGGTCGTCTCGGCAGGATCTTCGGCTTCCTGATTTGCTTCTTCTGCGGATTGTCCTGTGCTGATTTCTGGTCCTGGAGTACCGTCAGGACCTTGATTTTGTAACGTGTTAGACACGTCACCTGATTCCCGACCTGCAGCGGTCAAGGCTGGTCCATCTACTGCAGTACTTCCCAGGTCCGCAACAGACCCATTACCTAACGACCCTGGCTCACTTTTCCCCTGTGTTAGTGTCACCGATGGAGGGGACTTTGGACTGGCGGCGACAGAAGCCTTAACATCAGGATTAGTCCCTGCCACGCACACGGACGGGCAGCAGCACAGGGCGAGCACCAACAGGGCGCACAGCAGACGGCACGTCATCATCGTGAGTGTGGTCGTTCAGTGGTGTGGAGCTGATCTGCACAGTGAGGGACATGGAGAGCAACAGGGGAGACGAGAGGTGCGGCAGACACACACAGAGGGCACACCACACGAGGAGAGGGCAGCAGCCAGGCATGCACCGTACGCCGCACACACTCCAATCCACGACAACAGGCACACACACACACACACACACACACAGCCCTGCCGCAACACCAACACACAGATGGAAGAGAGAGAAGCAAACAGGAGCGGCACACAAGGCTCCACCGCATGTACATACGGCGAGAGCGGTCCGTCGTGTCGGCACCCCTCACGAAGAGTACGCACACACAAGAGTAGGTGCAGCGCCCACAGCAACAAAAAAGCAAACTAACAATAAAAAAGGAATGATCCCCGCAAACCACGTGGATTGTTGGTCTACAGGAATCGCAGCCAATATTCATCACAAAAATAATTCAGTTGCCTTCGGCCTTCGTTCATATTCAGCGCTCACCATTTCATGCAGGCCTGGGCACCGCCGCCGCAGCAGCCGCACACGCAACAACAAGAAGAAGCAAAAGAGGGGAGGTGGTGTGGGAGACCGCGGTGCTGCTGTCACTGTCGCCAACCTTTTCATTATCTCCAGTTTGGCGTTTTTCTGTCGCCGCAGCATCCGGAGTTTGAGCATCCTCGGTTGTCTTCGTCCCTGTGGATTCTTCCTCCTCAAAAGGGGAAAATTCTTCGCTTGTAGATGGCTCAGCTTCTTGTTCTTGACTGCCAGTTGATGTACTCTGCGCCGTAGCTTCTGTAGAGGCAGGATATTCCTTATTTTCCTTTTGTAGTTCGGGTATGTTCGTGGATGTATCCGTGCTTTGGCTTTCATTCGTCTTTTGTTCCGGAGTTAACATTTCATTTTGGGTTTTGTGCTCCGGCGTTACTGTGTTTGGCACTGTCGTTTGAACCTGTTCACTGCTCTCTGATTTTGTACCTGGACCCTCTAATAAGTCTCCTTTTCTGGGGGCCTTTGGATCCTCGTTTCCAATATCTTGTACTCCCAGTGGGGACTGACCTTCTCCACCCGTATTGTTCTCGCCAACACCTTCACCCTTTTCTGAGGCAGAAATGTGTGGCTGAGGCGCTGATGGCGGTTGCAACTGCCGTTTTGTTTCTTCGTCTTCTCTTTCTCGTTGTGGCTGCGGCTGCCGTTGCGATTGTGACTGTTGCGGTATTGGCTGCGGATGCGGTGACACATTTGATTGCGATTGTAGCGGCTGTATTCCTTCTTGTTCTTCTTTTTTTAATTTCAGGTTTGTTTTTTCATTTCCTGGAGCATCTTCCACAGGTTCTTCCAAATTCTCTGAAGGGCCCCCATCTTTTTTATCCTCTCTGGAAAGAACATCCTGTTGATCGGTGTTAACTTTTTTTCCTTCCAAAGATTTTCCTGTAGATGTTCCTGTTGCCTGATTAACATTGAGCACATCTATTCTTAAATCTGAGGCGTCTGGAACTGGCTCTGAATTTCCAGCAGGCTCCACCGCACTTCTACCACCATTCCCTTTTCCAGCAGCAACCCCAGAATCCGCCACCTCGTCACATCTACCGCCGACACCGCACCACAGCACGCAGAGGGCACACACCAGCAGCACACGGCCAGTCATCATCGCCATCACTCCTGTCACTTGCGTGTAGCCTTCAGCACAAACTAACAACACGTCATCGCAAAGCAAGAATAAATACAAGGAGAGTGAAAAAAAAAACAGTAAAAAACACCGGCAGGCAGCACACGCACAAGAAACAGCACATCAGTGAAGGCACCAACAGGACGCAGAGCAAACGGCACGACATCATCACAAACAGCGTAGCCAATTAACGATTTGGGGCGGACCTGCAACAACATGTGAAAACAAAAGGAGAGACACGCCCGCTACACCACGCACAGCCACCGCACAGTAACAAATGGCAGCAGCAGAAGCAGGGAACAAACCAGAAAAGACAGATAGAATCAGCACGATTGCAAAACTCACATAATATCCTGCAGACCAAAATTTTAAGAACCAAGCAAAAATTTAAGAAAAAGATGACAAACCCAAGACTCCAGTGAGCATGCACCTATCCTCAAATGTGCGTCCACGTACGGCTCCGCTGCGAATGCATACGAGTGTGGGATGCCTTCAACGAAACGGAAGTGAAGAACAAAGCGGAGCACACATGAGGGTAGGGGAAGAAAACAAAGCAAAACACAATCATCATAATTAATCTTACTTCATGCATCGCACCACAGTAGGCGTACACATGTCCCCGTGGCTGAGTGCTGGCACGCACAGCTTACACACAATTCTTCAGCCCACAGCAGTGTACGCCAGCGCGGATGCGGCGAGCAGCAGCGGGGCACACACCCACGCAGAGCTGCTGAGGCTGCCGTCGATTTCGCGAAGACGTGACGGTACACGGGTGGTCGTCGTGGTTGACGCCTCTGTCGTAGCGGCCCTCATCGTGGTAGGCATCGTATTTGGTGTCTGTTCCTCAATTGAGTTCTCTGGCGCAGCAGCTTCATAATTGGTTCCATTTTTGTGTCGGAATTACGTGGTGTCTTTCCCGTACTTGCAGTATCTTTTCCCTTCAACGCAGGGGAGTTCTTACTTGGTGCTGGCGCAGCAACCGGGAGAGTTGTTCCTCCTGGCATGCCTAATGGACCTGTCGCTTTTGTCGTATCATGATTCGTACTTACTTCCCTTGGTGGAGAGGGCGGTAAACCGTGTCCACTTGTTTGCTGTTCCTTCCTGGAAACGGTTTCCTCGTGCACCGTAATGGAATCACTTAGTGACTTTTCCGTTTCATCCTCCAAACGTGTTCCGTCTCGCGTGCCAGACTCAGTGGATCAGTCATGCGTAAGTGTCGCACCTATTCACTCAGGAAACAAAAGACGATAGACTGGAGCTTTCATTATCGTTAGCTTTATTTTTGCCTGCATTCTTTGGGCCACCCTCAGTTTGTTTCCTTGGCACAGGAAGAAGTGGACTGGGGCTTGCAACATCTTCACCTGCCGTCACGCACACGGACGTGCAGCAGCAGCACGAGAGCGCAAGGAACTGCACAGCGCACACCACACGGCGCCGCACCGTCACCATCGTCATCATCGCCCGTACTGGAGTCGCTGGAGTCAGTCAGCCGATCGGTGAGACGGAAAGGAAAATAATGGAACGAGAGGGAGAGGGACGGAGCACAGCGGATACAGCGAGAGAGCGCAGACAACATGAGGAGAGGGCAGCAGGCCCAGCCGCACAGTTCACACACCACGAGACGGCGTCCACGCAAGGAAGGCACACAACGCCAGCAGCCACCCACCATGCAGGAGGAGAAGACATCCACCACCATCTCCCCCAGCTCATTCCCGCAGCCCCAGGGAAATGGCCAAAACCCCGCGGCCACCACACAACGCACACGGAGCAAGCGAACCCTCATCCATCCATGACGCGGCACAAAAACTTCCTGCCATCCCGCCCTCAATGGGACACGGAGCCCAACTCAGCGCAGTCACACGCGGTGCATCACACCCACAGGAAAATAGACTCGGGCAGCGCTCCCTCTCTCCCTCCTCCTCATGGCCACGGAAGAAGACAACAGCCGCCACACGCAACTGCCAGCATGCACTACAAAAGGAGCATTCAAATCCACTGCAATGTGCATCTTGTGTGTGTGTGTGTGGTTGTGTGTGCCTGCAGAAACACAAAGCAAAGACGTGGAAAAGAGGGAGCAGAGTATGCGGAGAGACGCACAAAACGTACAGCGGAGACGCATAACGGAAACAACAACAAGAAGACCGCTCAAACTCATGACTGCACTGCAGCCCAAGCAGTGGCAATTCACACAAGATTTATTGAAAACAAAAAAACGTTCCCCTTCCTCTTATATAAACCCCATCACACAAAATAATTATAAATGAAAAAGAAATCGTCCATTACTGTTCCACACAAATTTAAAAAAAGGTCGATTGGCTGCCGTGTGGCCACACCAAACCGTCTGTATATTTTGCCCGCAAAAGAAAATTAAAAGGATGGTTACGTGTGCTTCAACCGTCCGACCCTCCATGTGTCCGCACATCGTTTATATTTCATGGGGTCATCTGCGTGTTGCTGCTCCCCTCAGCCCTCCCATCGGCGCGTGAGTGCGGCCCGCAGAGCACAGTCACTCGTGTGTGTGTGGGGACTGAGAGAAGCACGCAGACATGACGGGAGTCGCGTCACTCCATCGGGAGAGTGAGCGCAGCAAAAGAAAAAAAGAAATCATCGGAGGGGAGAGAAATGCTCACGAGGCCGACACCGAAGGGTGCGCCAGCGCATGAAATAAACACGCAAAGCAAAACAAATCCTTAAATAAAAACACGGCGGCAGGGTGTGGCTGTGTGTGTGGCGCTGCGGGTGTCTGCCCGCCCTGGCCGCAATAAAAACAAAACAAGAGGGAAAGAAATGTGTGCTCCGCCCCACAGGCCCTCGTCGCACGCCCACACGTCACGGCTCCCTCAGCGCGCCGTTCGTCGCGGCCCCTCCTCATGCGTGCAGCAGGCGAGGCGCACAGGGCCGTCGTCATGAGCGTGTCGGTGGGTGTGCGAGTGGAGCAGTTGGGCGGAAACACACGGCACCCCTCACAGGAAGAGTGCAGCAAGAAACAATTGAAAGAGGGAAGAGTAGAAAAGAAAAAAACGTCCATAGTGATTGCCTCCAAAAGCAAAAAAGGGTGAGGGATAGAAGAACAATAAAAAGCAAAAACAAAAACAAAACGCACAAAAAACAAAAGAAAAAAGAAATTAAGAAAGATATCTCACCACCAGAAAAAAAAAAAAAAAAACAACATTTAAAATATTTTAAAGCAAACAGCAAGGAAAAATTAAAAATACTTAAAACAATCATAAGAGGACAACAACAACAACAAAAAAAACAGTTACGGTGCTCCACCCATGCAGCCAGGCAGGACGGCAGCGGTGCATGTGGTGCAAAAGAGAGCACCAACGGGCCTGCATGGGTGTGCATGCAATATATACAATGGGCACATTATGTGTGTGCTTCGTGGGATGAGGTGAGGGCGAGAGTCCATGCAAGGGGACACACACAGAGAGAGAAGGACAAGTGTGTGTGCGGGCGGTGCACGGCTCTCTCTCCCTCACTCTCACGCGGCCACCACCGCAGCAGCAGCCGCACACGCAACAAGAAGAAGAAGCAAAAGAGAGGAGGTGGTGTGGGAGACCGCGGTGCTGCCGTCACTATCGCCAGTCGTCACCGTTGTAGTTTTCATGGCTGTGGCCGTCACTGGTGTTTCTTTCGGATTGGCATCTTTATTTTCATTTTGTTTTCCCTCTGCTGTCCCTGGACCATCAGCTGCTGGATCACTGTTCGGGGTGCCGTCTTCAGTGCTCTTGTCAGAATCATTATTGGCGGCATCACCGTTTGCCGTGGGTGAAGGTGGCCCTGATTCCCCATGGTCGGCAGATGGTTCATTGTGTTGATTGGCTGTGATGGTGACAGCGCTCTTTGTTTGTGAATTGTTGTTTGAGTCCTTTTCGCCTTGGAATTCTTCTGGTTGTTTCACGTCCTCTAAAGTCTCAGGGATGGAATGTCCATTCAGTTCTGTTGTTGCTGTTTGTATTTCTGCGTTATTGGTGGGATTTCCATGTGTTTCTGTTGGTGCCTCATTAATTGCGTTTTTTTTTGTCTTCTTTTTTTTTCACCAGTTCTTCCGTCTCTTGTTCTGATAGTATTGTTACTTCCGCCTTTTCTTCAGGACTGTCAGATTCACTGGGAAGAACTTCTTCTTCTTCTTGCGGCCGGCTATTGGAGTTTTCACTAATCTCGGAATTTTCCTTCAAAAAGGGTTGCTTGACACCCTCAGTGCCAGAGCTGCCAGATGAAGATGAAGAAGAAGACAATTGATCAACGCTTTGGTGTTGGGGCCCAGTTGCCGTACCGTCCTCGTGATCCTTCTTATCTCCTGCTACTTCTTCACCACTTGTATCCATCACTTCTAATTCCCCAACCTGTTCTTCTGTACCTGATCCTCCGGGCTTCGGCGGTAGTTCTGCTGGTTGACCTCCGACACCACCTCCTCCTGCACCAGGCGCTCCAGTGGACTGCGTATTATTGCCCAATTTATTATCAGGTGATGATACCTTCGACTTATCCTGAGGCGGGTCTGGACCACTCAATTCTTGTTTACCTTCCGCAGCTTCAACCGCCTTTATTAATGCCATTCGAGCGGATAACAACCCGCAGTCCGCCTTTAGAGACACGCCGTCATCTCCACCATTACTCGTGTGCCTCAAACCGTTCCCTCCACCCTCACTGCAGTAATCGTCCATCGCGTGTCCAAAAGCCGCACCGCACCACAGCACGCAGAGGGCACACACCAGCAGCACACGGCCAATCATCATCATCGCCATCACTCCTGTCACTTGCGTGTAGCCCTCAGCACAAACTAACAACACGTCCACAGAGAGCAAAAGAAGAGAAAAAGAGAAAAAAGTCACACAGTAACGCGCAGCCACCGCACAGGACAGTGACAAATACCAGCCGCAGAGCACACACCATGAGGCAGAGGGAATCAGTGCAATTGCAGAACTTGCACACCGCACTGAAAACGACAAGATTAAAAAGCAAAAAAAAGCAAAAAATTAAAA